TCTATGAATGAAAAAGCAGCTCTTGTTTACTGTCTTACATTGTGGCTGATGACCGTGAAGCTGTACCCCTTGTAAGAGTTACTGTGCACTTTTTAAAGAAGTAATTATCAAAAAGGCACCAAGCCGGGAAGGCTATGTAGCACCAACTTTTTAAAGAAGTGGTCTGGATTAATATCTTAAAATTGGTTCAGTTTTAAAGGCGCGAGATGAGGCCTACGAGTGAAGTTTCCCGAGGGAAATCTACAGTTCAATGTGTGTCACAACTGATACCTGGCAGAAGCCAAGTGTGAAAGTAAAGTTCACACACTCGGCACTCCAGCCTCTTAGTTCTTACAGTAGCACTGTCAATCCCAGTCAATGCAAATGAACCACTCAAAATAAAAACCATAAAATTATTTTAACTACGCCCAATGACTCCCATAGCCCAAACTGTTTCGATAAATTTTATAGTAATTTACTTTAACAACTTAATAAAACAGTTTTTTTAAAAGAGATTGCCTAATATTTAGGTCAAAGCAAAACTCCACTTTAAAAATTAAACTAACCACAAGATCTTTCTTAAACCAGACACTGTAAATTTTACCCGTATTTTGCTATGATATACTGTGAAAAAATAATTTAATTAATATTTTAACTATTTTCAAAATATCATTTCTTATACAATCCCTGATATATCCAAGAATATTACAATATGATTACTCTAATGCCACACCACAAACAAATCGGATTCCAGAACCTGTGGTGGCCACGTGGACCCGAGATGGTCATGTGGTAGTGAGGGCAGCCACTGAGCCAACTATGCCTCTTCCTCCTGGCAGAGCCTCCCTCTTGCTCATCTCTCACAGCCTTATCCAAATTTATTCAGACAGTCGCTCTAACAGTCTCATTGTAACTTTATTCAGACCATCTCAAAAACATGAAACTGCATTTACTAAATGTTCAGAAAGCATGTGATAGTATGAATATGTAAATATACATATATACAGTATGTGCATACATGGGAACCAAAGTGAACCATAAATATATGCACATACATATCTATATACATGCATACAATATACAGTGGAACCTCGGTTTTCAAATGCCCCCTCTTTTCAAATTTTTCTGTTCTCGCCTAGTGACAACTGCGCTTGAATTCTTTGTAAAGAATTTAATTTTTTGTGCTTTTTTGGTTTCTGAACATAAAAGTTTTTATTACATATCATGTCATGGGTGCCGAGAAAGTCAAAGGAAAAGTTCAACCTAAGAAAATAGTTGTGAGGGGGATGACAGAAAAAACAAGAGATCATTCGTAGCGAGACAATGTGACGTCTCACTACAGACAAGTGTTAAAACGTAGGGAAAAACAAGTGTCTATAGAGAGACTCTTAGTAAGACAAGCAAGCAGTGAGCCACAACCAGGTCCTAGTGGTATGCCTGCAAAACGTGAGAGAGAGAGTACCTCACAAATGTCATCACTGCTGTTATAATGGAAGGCGACTCCCCTTCTAAACACTAACACCTCTTCTCTTCTCCCCCCTCTTCACTGTCTTCCATACACCAACAAGAGTCATCCATGAAGGTAAGATATACTTGTACAAACAGTAGTACAAAATATTAATACAGTAGTAATATGTATAAAATGTATTTTTAAGTTATTATTTTTGGGGGTGTGGGACTGTTTAATTAAATTTACATTATTTATTATGGGAAAATTCGTTTTGTTTTTTAATTTTTGAACTGTCTCTGGGAATGGATTAAATTTGAAAATGAAGGTACCACTGTATATGTATCTAAATATATACATACAGTACATATCTAAAAATATATATGTATACATATGCACAAGCATAGGAAAACATGCACGCAGGCAGGTACACATTAAAATGCAAACAATATAATTCAAACAATTTGTTTGGTTTTAAACGTGCAAGATGAGGCCTAAGAGTGAAGTTTCTCGAGGGAATCTACAGTTCAATGTGTGTGCTATATGAACATGCCCAGAGGAACACACCCCTAGACTAATGCACATGCTTGGCAGAATACACACACACATGCACACACATGTAGATGCACGAATACACACAAGAATGCACACACATGTAGATGCACAAATGCTGTACATACATGTATGTATGAATAAACATTAACATCAATGAATGCAATTATACCTGTATGCAAACATATCCAACAAATACAGTACAGTAAACAGCACAAAAAAGTCATTCCTTTCTCTACTGCCACACTTTGCATCATGAACGTGGTACAGTATTCAAAATTATTCCTGCAAAATTAATTTGAATTTTGTACTAACACATTTCTTAAAAGTTTAAGTACTTGGGCGATGGGACATATTAAATTAAGACTAGATTTGCACACTGTAACCTATACTATAAATATTTTCAAGATTAATAAATTAAAATATATATACTTTATCAAATTATAATTAATGTAGCGATTTACCCACCTAGTTGTGCTTGCGAGGGTTGAGCTTCGGCTCTTTGGTCCCGCCTCTCGACTGTCAATCAACTGGTGTACAGATTCCCGAGCTTCTCGAGCTCCATCATATCTACATCTAAAACTGTGTATGGAGTCTGCCTGCACCACATTACCTCCTAATGCATTCCATTTACTAACCACTCTGACACTGAAAAAGTTCTTTCTAATGTCTCTGTGGCTCATTTGGGTATTCAATTTCCACCTGTGTTCCCCTGTGCTTGTTCCCCACGTATTAAAAACTTCATACTGGTCTACCTTGTCAATTCCCCTGAGAATTCTGAATGTGGTGACAATGTTTCCCCAAGCTCTTTTGTCTTCCAGCGACGTGAGGTGCAGTTCACGCAGTCTTTCCTCATAACTCATGCCTCTTAGTTCTGGGACTAGCCTAGAGGCATACCTCTGAACTTTTTCCAGCTTCATCTTGTGCTTCACAAGGTATGGGCTCCATGCTGGGGCCACATAGCCCAGGATTGGTCTTACATATGTGGTATGCAATATTCTGAATGATTCCTTATACAGGTTCTTGAAGACAGTTCTGATGTTAGCCAGCCTCGCATATGGTGCCGATGTTATTCTTTTGATGTGTGCTTCAGGAGACAGGTTTGGCGTGATAACTCCTAAATCTCTCTCTCTGTCCGTTTCACGAAGGACTTCATCTCCCATTCGGTATCCTGTTTTTGGCCTCCTGTTTCCACTGCCTAGTTTAATTTATTTACATTTACTCGGGTTGAACTGTAGTAGCCATTTGTTGGACCATTTATTCAGTTTGCCTAGATCATCTTGTAACCTCATACTATCTTCCTCCGACTTAATCCTCCTCATAATTTTTGCATCATCAGCAAACAATGAGAGGAAGGATTCTATACTCTCTGTGAGATCATTTCCACATATCAAAAAACCAGCGTTGAATGTAATGAAACGCCATTTTCTGGGTGAGTCCCGGAGGCTCCCCGGAGCTATCCCAGGCTGATATGCTAATGTCAGACTTTGGCATCAGTCATGTGTATGGAGTTCTTAGGCCTACCGGGGACCACGGCCAGAACCGGGCCCCCTCAGAGAGGCAAGGGGAGCAATGGCCTATAGAAGCCCCCGTGTAGTTGGAAGCATTCTATGTCTGCCATCGACCGGAACAGGCACCCAGAAAGGTAAGCGCCCCAAAACAAACCCCTATTCTGGTTAAAATTGCTACCTAATACCGAACTAGTGGATAGAACTCCCCAACCGAAAACAAGCAAATTAGTGTGACGTCACACACTGCCGCGCCGCTGTCTGCGCAGCTCCCCCCTCCCCGGGAGGGGGAAGGGGAGCCCCAGACCCCCCGCGCCGGCTACCCACACCTCAGTTCTTGAGGCTGGATGTCAAAAACGCGAAAAACCGCCGACCGGAGGGAGGGAGGGATGCCGGGGAGCCTCCGTGACTCACCCAGAAAATGGCGTTTCATTACATTCAACGCTGGTTTTCTGGGGGGAGCCCCGTCGGCTCCCTGGAGCTAACTACCCACAGACAGAAAAAGAGGGACTTACCCGGGAGGCGGTCGTCGCTCACCCCTCAACTCGAAGCCGAGACAACTGGCTGCAACCGCCGACCCAAAGCAACACAGGCCCGACGAGGGCCAGGGACATTCACAAGGTAACGAGCAGCCAGGACCCTGTTCGACCGCCAAAATCCCCGCGCCCGAATATCAGACCAAGACATATTCCCAAAGACGGCAGCAAGAGCCGCGAACTTACGAACGTCATGGGCACGGGGATAGACCGCAGGCTGTGACGTCACACTAATTTGCTTGTTTTCGGTTGGGGAGTTCTATCCACTAGTTCGGTATTAGGTAGCAATTTTAACCAGAATAGGGGTTTGTTTTGGGGCGCTTACCTTTCTGGGTGCCTGTTCCGGTCGATGGCAGACATAGAATGCTTCCAACTACACGGGGGCTTCTATAGGCCATTGCTCCCCTTGCCTCTCTGAGGGGGCCCGGTTCTGGCCGTGGTCCCCGGTAGGCCTAAGAACTCCATACACATGACTGATGCCAAAGTCTGACATTAGCATATCAGCCTGGGATAGCTCCGGGGAGCCGACGGGGCTCCCCCAGAAATAGTATAGGTCCAAGGACAACCCTGTGGGACTCCACTGGTGCCACTTTGCCAATATGATACCTCGCCCCTCACAGTGACTCGCTGTCTTCTGTTGCTTAGGTACTCTCTTATCCAATGGTGTACCTTCCTTTTCACTCCTGCCTGCATCTCCAGTTTGTGCACCAGTATCTTGTGTGGTACTGTGTCAAAGGCTTTCTGGTAATCCAAAAATACACAGTCTGCCCACCCCTCTCTTTCTTGCCTGGTCGTAGAATTCAATTAATCCTGTGAACCATGACTTGCCATCCCTGAACCCATGCTGATGTTGTGTTACAAAGTTCTTTCGCTCGTGTGTATATGTGCATGTACGTATGTACATGTATGTGTACATACGTGTGCATGTACATATATGAATGTCTATATTTGTGCGTGTCTGTGTTGAAGGTAGGTAGGTGTAATTGCCTAAGTGTGTGTGTGTGTGTGTGTGTATACTTGTTTGTTTTTGGAAGCATACAAAAGCAGCCTCCCCACCCCCTCCCCTTCATCACTACCTCATAGCCCTATAGTCACATTGTACCCTACACACATCCACTCACACTTCATTCTAATAGTCTCATTATAATAATTTCAAACATGTAGTTCAATTATTTTTTTAATTAAAAATCTAGCAGGACAATAGTACTATAAATCTGGCAACTATATATTTCTGAAAACATTATTATATTTGTTTATAGATATACTGTAAATATATTAAATTTAATTGAAATATTATAGAATTGTTCAATGATACCAAGATATAAAAACTTTTATAATGACAATAACCTTGACTGTTAATCTGCCAAATTATTTGGAATGTACACCAGATAAAACCAAGCGTTTCCTAAATTACTGAAGTAAATTCAAGCAGTCAACCTGATATTAATTTGTCAACAGGCAAAAGCTTATTTCAGTCAGATGGCATGCAACTCAGCAGCATAAATCTGGAATGTATTTTATACCTTGTACATTTCTCTTTCACGTTACATTTGTTTAGGTTTTTGGTATAGGCTGTTTCTCCACAAGAGGTGCAACCTCTTCAGCAGCCTGAGGTGAAGGGTCTCGTGACGCAGCACCAGCATGAAGTTCTTGACTCTGTAGGCCAACATGACTACCTTCCACTGATGGATTGGCAATGTTATTTTCATAAGGAGGTGGGTAAACTGGATCATTATTTTGTCTTGGTGTGTATGGAGGTGCAGGTGGATAACCTGTGATATCAATTGGGTTATAGACTGGATTATACCCTGAAGTGAGACCTGGGTAAGGTGGCGGTGGATCATCCTTCCTTGGTGAAGGAATCGTCACCGTCATATCCATATTGGGGTGGGCAACGGCTACTACTGTCAGATCTGCAGACTGACTTGCCGACTCTCGGAGCTAAAACAAAAATATAAATTATATTAGTACACAGATTCATTTATAATTAGTAATAACTACCCTATCAAAATATTAACTCCAAGTTCTCTTTGAGAACAACGTTGCAGAAGGTTAGAACAAGTGAGAAGGCAGTGGTTGCCAAAACCATCAGCACTTTCAAAGCATTATATAACAGAACATTTGGAAGATGGAACACTGCTAGTGTAGCTTTCATCCTGTATCTACACTTAAGTAATTACACTAAGGTAATTTGATGTATGTGCTCTTACATATGCAGTACTTATGCTCTCATTCATTTGCTCACAAACACACACACACACACACACACACACACACACACACACACACACACACACACACACACACACACACACACACAACATAGAGCGGATAGAGGTGTCTAGAGATGAAGTGGAAAATATGCTAAAGAAGCTCGGTAAGAACAAAGCAGCTGGCCCAGATGGCGTTTCACCATGGGTTCTGAGAGAATGTGCATCTGAGCTCAGCATTCCACTTCACCTGATCTTTCAGGCATCCCTGTGTACAGGAATCGTAGCAGATGTGTGGAAACAGGCTAACATAGTTCCAATCTACAAAAGTGGCAGCAGGGAAGACCCCCTCAATTATAGACCTGTATCATTGACAAGTGTAATAGTGAAAGTATTGGAAAAACTAATCAAAACTAAATGGGTAGAACACCTGGAGAGAAATGATATAATATCAGACAGACAGTATGGTTTTCGATCTGGAAGATCCTGTGTATCAAATTTACTCAGTTTCTATGATCGAGCCACAGAGATATTACAGGAAAGAGATGGTTGGGTTGACTGCATCTATCTGGACCTAAAAAAGGCTTTCGACAGAGTTCCACATAAGAGGTTGTTCTGGAAACTGGAAAATATTGGAAGGGTGACAGGTAAGCTTCTATCATGGATGAAAAATTTTCTGACTGATAGAAAAATGAGGGCAGTAATCAGAGGCAATGTATTGGAATGGAGAAATGTCACAAGTGGAGTACCACAGGGTTCAGTTCTTGCACCAGTGATGTTTATTGTCTACATAAATGATCTACCAGTTGATATATACAGAATTATATGAACATGTTTGCTGATGATGCTAAGATAATAGGAAGGATAAGAAATTTAGATGATTGTCATGCCCTTCAAGAAGACCTGGATAAAATAAGTATATGGAGCACCACTTGGCAAATGGAATTTAATGTTAATAAATGTCATGTTATGGAATGTGGAATAGGAGAACATAGACCCCACACAACCTATATATTATGTGAGAAATCTTTAAAGAATTCTGATAAAGAAAGAGATCTAGGGGTGGTTCTAGATAGAAAACTATCACCTGAGGACCACATAAAGAATATTGTGCAAGGAGCCTATGCTATGCTTTCTAACTTCAGAATTGCATTTAAATACATGGATGGCGACACTCTAAAGAAATTGTTCATGACTTTTGTTAGGCCAAAGCTAGAATATGCAGCTGTTGTGTGGTGCCCATATCTTAAGAAGCACATCAACAAACTGGAAAAGGTGCAAAGACATGCTACTAAGTGGCTCCCAGAACTGAAGGGCAAGAGCTACGAGGAGAGGTTAGAAGCATTAAATATGCCAAAACTGGAAGACAGAAGAAAAAGAGGTGATATGATCACTACGTACAAAATAGTAACAGGAATTGATAAAATCGATAGGGAAGATTTCCTGAGACCTGAAACTTTAAGAACAAGAGGTCATAGATATAAACTAGCTAAACACAGACACCGAAGAAATATAAGAAAATTCACTTTCGCAAACAGAGTGGTAGACGGTTGGAACAAGTTAGGGGAGAAGGTGGTGGAGGCCAAGACCGTCAGTAGTTTCAAAGCGTTATATGACAGAGTGCTGGGAAGACGGGACACCACGAGCGTAGCTCTCATCCATCCTGTAACTACACTTAGGTAATTACCAGGGAACGCACTTCCGTGTTTCCCGAGAGGACGTGCGAGCAATAGAGCGGTGGGCAGCGTCAAAGACAGTGTCATGAAATGAAGGAGGGTGCAAGGGAGAGGCAGAACGGAGAGGTCGGAAATAGTAGCACGGAGAGTAAAGAGGCGCCAGTCAGCCTTGGCAAACCGCCACCTAGGGAAGGAGAGAGGAGGGCGAAAGGAGAAAAAAGTAACAAGGATAGGAAAATGGTCACTGCCATGGAGGTCATCAAGGACCCGCCACCCGAAATCTAAGGAAAGGGATGACGAACACAGAGAAAGATCGAGACAAGAAAGAGAGAGAGTCTGAGAGTCCAAATGAGTGGGCTCACCAGAATTAAGAAGGGAAGGGAAGAAGAGAGAATGAAAGGTTAAAGGAGGCGACCCCGGATGTTTGTCAGCACATCGCCCCAAAGGGCATGACGACAATTGAAATTACGCAGCAGGAGCACAGGCTCCGGCAAGGAGTCTAGGAGGTGTTTAAGATCGGGAAGAGAAAGTGGAACAGTGGGGGGGGGGAGATAAATGGAACAAATCGTGTAGCATCTACGCACAAAGACACGGGCGGCAAAACAGTGGAGAGGCGAGGAAAAAAGTAAAGGGACAAAGGGAACATCGGAGCGAGTCAAGGGAGCAGAAGAATTATGGACTCCAGCTGTCACTGGGGGGGGGGGGGGGGGGGGGGGGGGGGGAGAAAAGAATAGCCACGGAGGCGACCAGGACGAGCACCAAGCATCGGCTCCTGGAGACAGACACAAAAAGGCAAAAACTGTGAAATGAGAAGTTGGAGGTCAAGGAAATTGGCATAAAATCCACAGATGTTCCATTGAAGAAAAGACATCAGCAAAGAGAGAGAGGAGAGCAACAGAGAGCAAAGAAGAAACAAAGGTGAAGAAGGAACACAGCACGCTAAAAAAGCACAGGGTCAGGACAGGGTCAGCGAAGTCAGGGTTAGGGGGCATGGGTAAACTGAGTAAAGAAGGAGGAAAAGAAGCGGGAGGACAGACCAGAGGTGGACGAGCAGGGTCTAGAGAAGGAAGGGGAGGAGGAGGGGCAGAAAGAGGGGAGCACACCTCAGCATGGGCAGTAACCGAGATGGAATCGGGGGCTAAAGAAACCCTCACAGTAGGAACAGGGGGCTCCACCACCGAAGCGGGAGGGGAAGGAACAATAGAATCAGAGATAAGGGGTGAAGAAGAAAGCGAAGCCTTCTTACCGACAGGGGAGGAGGAAGGAGAGGAGCCAGGTTTCCGCTTCTGACTCAAAGATACAGGCGTCCCAGCAGCAATGTACTGGGCAACAGACTCCAGCGTCTCGATAGGAGAAGAAGAGCGAGAGCGAACAACACAACCATCAGGAGAGCGATGGACATTGGCCCGCACAGTCAGGCGGCGTAGAGAGCCAAGAAACGGAGGAGAATGACGGGAAGGAGGACCAGAGGGAGATGAAAAAGAAGACACAGGAGACGTGACAGACTGGGTAGAAAGAAGGGGAGCCCTAGACAGAGAACCAGGAGGGGGACCCTTCGGGACAGAACGGAGGGAAACAGGGAAGGTGGTGGTGGGCGTGTCCAGGTCTAAGGCTTGGAAACGGTTGTGAGACTGAGGAAGGCGGGAAGGACGAGGAGAGGAAGAGCGCACCACGCGAGCATAGGAGACACCAGCAAAAGAGGGGAGACGATGAACTTGGCGCCGAGCCTCAGGAAAAGACAAACGGTCCCGGTGCTTCAAGTTGAGGACAGCCGCCTCAAGTTTGTAACGAATACAAGTACGGGAGAAGGTATGGTGGGCCTCACCGCAATTGAGGCAGCGGTCCTGGGGAGAAGTGCACTCCAACTCAGAGTGACCCTCGCTTCCACACAGGGAACAGAGAGAGACAGGACTAGAGCATTTGAGGGCACCATGCCCAAACCTCCAGCACTTACTGCAGAGCCGAGGAGATGGAACATACTCCTGAACGGAGCATCTGGCACCAGCAAGAATGACAGAGGGCGGAAGGGTCCTACCATCAAAGGTAACCTTCACAACCCGAAGGGGCAGACGGCGATGACCACGAGGGGGACGAGTAAATGTATCCACCTGTAGGACAGAATGACCCTGGGCCTCGAGGATATGCTTGATATCCTCGTGGCAGTCCTTGAGATCCCTAACACCGGTTGCAACATGGTGCGGGAGGAGAACAGTGCCAACACTGGCATTCAACTGAGCATTCTTCGAGATCCGAACAGGGGTCTCACAAAGGCAGGATAAGGCGGCCAAGCGGGTGGCCGCATCCTGAGAAGGAGCAGCAATGACACGGGTACCAAGACGAGTGGGGTTGAAGGTGACAAGAGGCATCCACGGAATCGACAAGATGCCTATGAAGGGAAAAAACGTCAGGAGTTGAATCCAAAGGTTGGAGGTCAAAGTACTTAGTTCACGTAGCAGGACCAAACAAAGCACGGTATGAATTTGGATGGGAAGGGAGCATACGAGAGCGGCCGTGGCGGGTACGACGATGAGAACCCGTAGAGAGAGACGGGTCGAAAGGTGCAGTAGTCGCAAGAAGAGATGGAGCCGTGCAAGGGGACGAGATAGTCACCACAGCAGGCTTGGGGCTCGACCCAACCACAGAGGAGGGAGGGGAGCAGGGAGGAAGAGTTCTGTCTGGGCCTAAACCGGGTCCTGTAGTGGGGGCTACAGATCCCGGTCTTCCAGGACGGTCCGACTCAGGGGCCTGGTCGCCCACCCCATGAGCCTGGGTAAGAGAAGTCAAGTCGTCATCCATGCAGCAAACCAATATATAAGGGATGGGACCTGGAACCAAGGGATACCACCTACCAGGGCTGCCAGGGAGGCTGAGCGCAGGCCAGTGCAGGAAGGGTGCGTTGTCCCCAGCGGTGCTCCCCCTTTTCAACAGGGGAGTCCTACTACTACATTCATTCTTCCACACTGGTGCTAAGACCTCAGTCCCCCTATCGCCCTAGCCTGGACACCCAACCATCCACTCAGGGCGGCCTCTCACAAGTGACCCCTCCAGCGGGTGG